TGTGTATGATACATAAATACATGTGTAGATGTAAATCATACTTACTACCCCACCAGATGTGTATGATACATAAATACATGTGTAGATGTAAATCATACTTACTACCCCACCGGATGTGTATGATACATAAATACATGTGTAGATGTAAATCATTCTTACTACCCCACCGGATGTGTATGATACATAAATACATGTGTAGATGTAAATCATACTTACTACCCCACAAGATGTGTATGATACATAAATACATGTGTAGATGTAAATCATTCTTACTACCCCACAAGATGTGTATGATACATAAATACATGTGTAGATGTAAATCATTCTTACTACCCCACAAGATGTGTATGATACATAAATACATGTGTAGATGTAAATCATTCTTACTACCCCACCGGATGTGTATGATACATAAATACATGTGTAGATGTAAATCATACTTACTACCCCACCGGATGTGTATGATACATAAATACATGTGTAGATGTAAATCATTCTTACTACCCCACCGGATGTGTATGATACATAAATACATGTGTAGATGTAAATCATTCTTACTACCCCACCGGATGTGTATGATACATAAATACATGTGTAGATGTAAATCATACTTACTACCCCACAAGATGTGTATGATACATAAATACATGTGTAGATGTAAATCATACTTACTACCCCACCGGATGTGTATGATACATAAATACATGTGTAGATGTAAATCATACTTACTACCCCACCGGATGTGTATGATACATAAATACATGTGTAGATGTAAATCATTCTTACTACCCACCGGATGTGTATGATACATAAATACATGTGTAGATGTAAATCATACTTACTACCCCACCGGATGTGTATGATACATAAATACATGTGTAGATGTAAATCATTCTTACTACCCCACCGGATGTGTATGATACATAAATACATGTGTAGATGTAAATCATACTTACTACCCCACAAGATGTGTATGATACATAAATACATGTGTAGATGTAAATCATACTTACTACCCCACCGGATGTGTATGATACATAAATACATGTGTAGATGTAAATCATACTTACTACCCCACCGGATGTGTATGATACATAAATACATGTGTAGATGTAAATCATTCTTACTACCCCACAAGATGTGTATGATACATAAATACATGTGTATATGTAAATCATACTTACTACCCCACCGGATGTGTATGATACATAAATACATGTGTAGATGTAAATCATACTTACTACCCCACAAGATGTGTATGATACATAAATACATGTGTAGATGTAAATCATACTTACTACCCCACCGGATGTGTATCATACATAAATACATGTGTAGATGTAAATCATTCTTACTACCCCACCGGATGTGTATGATACATAAATACATGTGTAGATGTAAATCATACTTACTACCCCACCGGATGTGTATGATACATAAATACATGTGTAGATGTAAATCATACTTACTACCCCACAAGATGTGTATGATACATAAATACATGTGTAGATGTAAATCATACTGACTACCCCACAAGATGTGTATGATACATAAATACATGTGTAGATGTAAATCATTCTTACTACCCCACAAGATGTGTATGATACATAAATACATGTGTAGATGTAAATCATACTTACTACCCCACCAGATGTGTATGATACATAAATACATGTGTAGATGTAAATCATACTGACTACCCCACAAGATGTGTATGATACATAAATACATGTGTAGATGTAAATCATTCTTACTACCCCACCGGATGTGTATGATACATAAATACATGTGTAGATGTAAATCATACTTACTACCCCACCGGATGTGTATGATACATAAATACATGTGTAGATGTAAATCATTCTTACTACCCCACCGGATGTGTATGATACATAAATACATGTGTAGATGTAAATCATTCTTACTACCCCACCGGATGTGTATGATACATAAATACATGTGTAGATGTAAATCATACTGACTACCCACAAGATGTGTATGATACATAAATACATGTGTAGATGTAAATCATTCTTACTACCCCACCGGATGTGTATGATACATAAATACATGTGTAGATGTAAATCATTCTTACTACCCCACCGGATGTGTATGATACATAAATACATGTGTAGATGTAAATCATACTTACTACCCCACCGGATGTGTATGATACATAAATACATGTGTAGATGTAAATCATACTGACTACCCCACAAGATGTGTATGATACATAAATACATGTGTAGATGTAAATCATACTGACTACCCCACAAGATGTGTATGATACATAAATACATGTGTAGATGTAAATCATACTGACTACCCCACAAGATGTGTATGATACATAAATACATGTGTAGATGTAAATCATTCTTACTACCCCACCGGATGTGTATGATACATAAATACATGTGTAGATGTAAATCATTCTTACTACCCCACCGGATGTGTATGATACATAAATACATGTGTAGATGTAAATCATACTTACTACCCCACCAGATGTGTATGATACATAAATACATGTGTAGATGTAAATCATTCTTACTACCCCACCGGATGTGTATGATACATAAATACATGTGTAGATGTAAATCATTCTTACTACCCCACCGGATGTGTATGATACATAAATACATGTGTAGATGTAAATCATACTGACTACCCCACAAGATGTGTATGATACATAAATACATGTGTAGATGTAAATCATTCTTACTACCCCACCGGATGTGTATGATACATAAATACATGTGTAGATGTAAATCATTCTTACTACCCCACCGGATGTGTATGATACATAAATACATGTGTAGATGTAAATCATACTTACTACCCCACCGGATGTGTATGATACATAAATACATGTGTAGATGTAAATCATACTGACTACCCCACAAGATGTGTATGATACATAAATACATGTGTAGATGTAAATCATACTGACTACCCCACAAGATGTGTATGATACATAAATACATGTGTAGATGTAAATCATACTGACTACCCCACAAGATGTGTATGATACATAAATACATGTGTAGATGTAAATCATTCTTACTACCCCACCGGATGTGTATGATACATAAATACATGTGTAGATGTAAATCATTCTTACTACCCCACCGGATGTGTATGATACATAAATACATGTGTAGATGTAAATCATACTTACTACCCCACCAGATGTGTATGATACATAAATACATGTGTAGATGTAAATCATTCTTACTACCCCACCGGATGTGTATGATACATAAATACATGTGTAGATGTAAATCATTCTTACTACCCCACCGGATGTGTATGATACATAAATACATGTGTAGATGTAAATCATACTTACTACCCCACAAGATGTGTATGATACATAAATACATGTGTAGATGTAAATCATACTGACTACCCCACAAGATGTGTATGATACATAAATACATGTGTAGATGTAAATCATTCTTACTACCCCACCGGATGTGTATGATACATAAATACATGTGTAGATGTAAATCATTCTTACTACCCCACCGGATGTGTATGATACATAAATACATGTGTAGATGTAAATCATACTTACTACCCCACAAGATGTGTATGATACATAAATACATGTGTAGATGTAAATCATACTGACTACCCCACAAGATGTGTATGATACATAAATACATGTGTAGATGTAAATCATACTTACTACCCCACCGGATGTGTATGATACATAAATACATGTGTAGATGTAAATCATACTGACTACCCCACAAGATGTGTATGATACATAAATACATATGTAGATGTAAATCATAGTTGTATCTTCTTGTTTTGGTAACATAATATTTTTTGATGACGTAATTTACCAGTGCCTGTTTCTTTTACTATTTCTTGAAAACATTTCTCACTTCCTTCAGTTATATAACTGATAAGTACTTACATGTGTTGCTGTCAAAATTCACAACATTCGGGCTACTGGCAACTTCACGTTACATAAGACCTTCACATTTCCCGTACCGCATCGCCTTACCGCTGTACTGAAATGCATGCAAATTATGAAGCCTGCTCGGGGATTTTACAACATAGATATTGGTACGAATACAGTGAAAATCTGTTGATTTTTAAGAGTGTGAAATCCAAACATCAAGGGCATCGCTTTCAGTACCGATTGCAAAACATCAACAAAGCCATCTGGAATAAACGATCAGCTGATCTCACAGTCTCACTTAGAACGGCTGCCAAGTGGTTAACGATACAATATACACAGTCATGGTCATCCCTGATGTATCTTTGAATCAAGGAACATCTATTTCCAGACATGACAATAGATAGATCGTTGTTTAGATGAAAAGATATACTGTCAATACACCAGCGTTGCCAATAGAGGTGAAGGCTATACTGATTAACTGTCTATAGGTGTGAGAGTGACATCACATGTCCGCTCGTATTGCGCATGCGCCATCAGTTTAAGGTTGGACTGTCTGGGTCAGCACACCTAGCGGGGTAGTGAAGGGAAGATGAATTGAAAAAGATCGCCTATTATGTCAGGGCTTTTCATAAGTAAAACACCCTCTTTTTATTTTCTTATCTGATTGTATAACAATTTTCATGTAAGTAGATTTTTTGTTTGTGTTGTGGGATGGATACCCGTCCGTCTGCTCCAAGTGTGGCATCACTTAACTCGCCCTAGATTCTCAACCTTCCTGCGATTGATGGTTTCACATGCACGTAATTCTTTCAAAGTCAAGAGGGATTTACCTAACATTCGTCTACACGTTCGTCTGAGGACAGGGCACACAGATCTTGTGATATGCTACATAATGGTAGTGAGAGTGAACTACCCAGGGCCTTCGGACTTTACAACCTTGTGCATACTGTTACAACTCGTGTGGTAGGAATTTCTGAGAAGAAACAGCTTTCAGGAACTATTACATGTGATTATCATCCTCCAACAACATCTGGCTAGGTTACCCCACGTGACTCAGTTCTCTCTTGTACATCTCACAGGGACACTTTGGATTTCGGATTGGAATGATGTTATGCTTGTACTGTGGAGGACTACTCATTCAAGCAGATTATTGAGGAATTGCACTCTCCTATGCCTTGGACTAAGCCCTTAGTCACTAATGAACCTGCCCCTCATTTGATGGAACCGGAATTCGCAGATCCTGCACCCCCAGCAGTTCCACACCCTGCCATGGCCATCCTCCTCTAGTAAGTTAGAACAACAAGCTAAGCTGCTTTGCTCAGCTTCCCTGCATTGAAGTCTACTATTATTTAATGAAGTTTTCCTCTTCAAGATGAGTTTTCGCATGAACAAACTTGAGGATATGGAAGGCGTCAACATGCATATGATGAACATTGGAGCCTACCTTAATTGGATTGCTGTGTTAATTGAGTTTTGGCATAGGTTACTTGTGATTCATGAGTATGATACAGAAATGCCAGCGGATCAAGAAGGTCAAGTGGGTTTCATTCAGAGTGCTTTACATGGCATCCTCAAGGAATTATGAGTTTCTCAAGTATGTATGTCGTCCCAACTTGCTTTCCCTTAAAGCCACCATCTACAGGTTCAAATAGTCTCTGTACCCTTAACACCTAGGAACTGGGAACAGTCATTGATGAAGTCAATCAGGATACTAAAGAGAGATTCCAGGTTTCCACTATTAACCTGGTGGCGGGCGAAGACTTACAGGTGACCTGCCGCTACTCCCAGAGATCATCAGGATCCTCCTAAAAGAAGATATGTCACTGCAGGATGAGATTCTTTCTGTGCCCCTGCCTTGACGGACAAGAAAGACTCCTGTGACGACACAAATGACGACATCATCGTCATAGAGGTAGAAGCAAGTCCATCTCCAGAGGTAGTGGGACTTGCCGTAAAACACTACCAGTACTTACAACCTCCCTTTGTTAAACCCTTTCCTGTCAGCTTTGTTTATGGATCTTGATAACAGATATATGGATTTCAAACTAACGTGAAAACGAGGACCAGTGGGAGGGTGTCTGCTGTCTTACTCCAACATTTGGAAGCATGTGACGTCAGACCACTGCTTACTCAAAGTTGTAAGGACAGTTTACAGTCTGGACTGTCGTTACTTGATAACAGTGTAAGAACCTACATTGAAACGTCGCTCTTTATTGTAATAAAGAAGTTGTTCTTCCATTAATTCTTATCCTTCATCAGAACCAAATATGATGTTAAAATATGGGAAGTGAGGTCACAGAAATGCCAGTGTTACGGGTTTTCATGGAAAATGACAAGTATTTGCATCTATTATTTGTTACTGTTAATGTTTATAATCAAGGCTGTCACTAGTGTCAGCTATTTGGGAGTGTTACATGCCAGATCCTGCCTTTTCCCTCTGTTAAATTCTGCACATGATGTAGTAGAGATAAGGTATTTGAAGGAATTATTAAACAATAGTTACATTGTGCATAATTCTAAGAACATTACCTCTACTTAATCAGGAGCAGTCCCACCCACCTCCCCCATTCATCTGCATCTAGGATGCTGGGTATTTTAAGCCGCCCCACTTTTGTGCAGGAAACTGTACCCATTGTGAGTGAGGTGAGGGGTCCCCTGTGACTATGGTAAATAGCTGACAGTGAAAAGGGTGTCTGTTGAAAAATCTGAAGATTTAATAGTGTGATGACAGCCAAATTACAGAAATTATGGCTGTGATGGAATAGGGGTAGTATTCTTAGAATTATACAGAGTGATAACTATTGTTTGATGTCTTAATACATGCCATGCATTTTCTTTCTGTTTCTCTCTCAAACGTTTCTACTTCTCATGATCAGTTTTGACCAAATCAGTGATTGTACATACTCTTAGATCTTTACTTGGGACCGGTACATTTTAGCTTGGACCGGTATTTTGCATTTTGACCTTTCAACTTCAACCATAATGAAAGCTGAAACTTATTGCCATCATTCAGCCATTTTTGGTTGAAATGAAATGATGATTGAGTGTAGTCCCCCTTTGTAAGACATGTAAGGGGGCACATGCAGTCCAGTTATCTAAAGACTGAAATTTTCTGTTCAGAGTTGTGTCCCTTAATTGTAAAAGGTTCCGCCAGGTGTTTGATGTGACAGTGATTCCATTGAAGTTTGTCTTCTGTTTTGTCTGTTTCACTGGCATTAAAGGGTAGTGTATAATTACAAAAGCCCAGGTGAATCTTATAGAAACGGGCTCCGTCCGTCCTTCCGTACGTCCGGCCGTACGTCTGTCTGTCCGTCCGTCCGTCACGTTTCGTTTCCGGAGCATAACTCATAAACCATTCAATATTTTTTCATCAAACTTTGCAGGTCTGTCAGGTACATGCTGAACTGGTGCCTTTTGCTATTGAGAAATTTTAGAAACTTGTATTTTTTACATTTCCATGGCAACAAGATGGACTTAGCTTCTGTGAGGGTAGGGTTCGTTTCCGGAGCATAACTCATAAACCGTTCAATATTTTTTCATCAAACTTTGCAGGTCTGTCAGGTACATGCTGAACTGGTGCCTTTTGATATTTAGAATTTTAGAAATATTTATTTTTTACGTTTCCATGGCAACAAGATGGACTTAGGTTCCAAACTCATCTCTTTTTTTACAACTTCCATGACAAGTTCCACCTCGGTTAGGGTTTGTTTAGATTTAATTATGTCATAAATTCTGCAACAGGGGTGGGGGATATAGCCACGTTAGTGGCAAACTCTTGTTGTATTCTGAGCAACATACATGATGATGAGTGTAATATATAAGCTGGTTACATGACAACTTCAGTGGAAGTCGCATATGTTGCAGGAGAGGAAATGGCACTCATTGAGCTGGTGTCGTTGTTGGCTGATACCTGTTTGTGCCTAAATGTTGGAATCTTAATGGGTATAATTAAGAACAGATGTCTTTAGATTGATTGTTTGATTTGAAGTTGATGATTGAGTGAAAGAAATTACTTTCAATTCAGAACTCCAACCTCCTTCCTGCACTCTTCAAACCGCATAGAGCAGGCCCAGGCATTCACATGGATCCGCAGTCACTTGGAAGAGGACAGTGAGATCTGTGTGCCTAAGCATGAGGTCTATGATGATTACAGGTCAGTGTTCAGCTACCACTAAACTTTCATACAAAACCTTTATAGGAGGAACTAGCCAGAATATGTTTCATGTAAGCTCAACTGGTGAAGCTATTGTTATGGCATTGTGTCTCTGTTTTGATATTGCCTTTAAACTTGATTATATAAATGTATTCCTGTTTGTTCACTATTGTAATGAAGCTTACAATTCAAGACTGTTACTAAACATAAAAATAACTGGTAATATGCGGAAATTCTGTCTTGTTTTATGCTCCTGATTCCGATTCCACTTCTTCCTGATTCCAAAGTCCCAGCTTTCAGTCCCTTATGTCATACCTTCTCTCACAACTTAATTTACAGTCTGTTTGGCTCCAAATGAGAACGTTGACTTGAAAAATAACTCAAAATCGGGAATAGTCTATTAAATGTCAATATGGTACACAGCAATAAATACCCTGTAGTCAACAATATCTGTTGTTTGTTATTTTTATTCCCATCACTGGAAAAAGTTGTTTAAGTTGACATCTTGAATGGAAGGGGCACAATGGTAGGAGGAACAGCGCAAACATGAACTGCACATGCTAAATTTTATATGTTGTTGTTGGCTGATAAGATGCGCTACTCAGCTGATGTGAAACAGTTGATTTTTAAGGTGTAAGATTTCTTTCAGTGAAGCAGAAAGAGAAAACCATTTTATGCCATTAATAAATACTTGAAACAAGCTTCTAATGCTCTTGGTATGTCTCCTAACAAGCTAAAAAACGTTATCCGTCGACAGGGCTCCAGCAATCAGGCAAAGCAGTTGGGGGAACATATCAAAGCCATGTACGGTTGATAAATTAGACAGTGTGTTATATGAACAATTTGGCATCCTTCATCTCCGAAATCATTATCAATCAAACCATCAAGCAGAAATGTGAAGAAGGATATGATCCTGTTTTCCTAGATGAGACATGGGTAAGTGCCTCTCACACAGCCAGATGTCAGTGGGTACCCATTGGGGTCTGAAAGGAGTCTGGAAGAAAGTTACCAATGGAAAAGGGTGAAAGACTTATTGCTGTGAGGGGGGCAGGGGTGGCCCAGTCGTCTAAGGCGCCACGATTCCCTGTGCAGTGTTGCGTCCCTTGGACACATCAGAAACCTATGATTGTGGGTTCAAATCCCGGTTCGCCCCGATTATGTTTCTAGGTTTGTCAGCACCATACCCCAGCTCGTGGGTATTCACCGAAATGGAAAACGTCTAGGACCTGCATCACTTCGGGCTTTCCTCCCACATAAAGCTGACGTGCCTTGATATAACTGGAAAACTGTTAAAAGCGGCGTTAAATCTAACTCACTCACTCACTCACAGCTTGTGACCTCGTCTTTTGAGCCAAGGCTAAGGACAACAGAGACTTTCAGTAGCACACAGAAATGAACGGCAAGGTATCTGGAGTGGGTGAAAGAGAAATCGGCACCTGCTTTGTGTGCCAAGTCCCTTGTTATCTTGTACAATGAATCATATCACAGTATGCAGGATCCAGACAGCAATGCCCCGCCGTCTATTAGCCTTAACGGGGATATTGTGACATGCAACAGATGAATATGACCTTTCCTTTTAGGGCTACAAAACCACAACTCTTATGAAATCATCAAATATTAACAAACCTGACCCTGTGTATATGGTTGACAATTTCATCAAAGGTCAAGGTCACACCGTCTTATGACTTCCCCCCCCCCACCACTGCGATCTGAACCTAATACATGGGGTATCGTCAAAGGTGACGTTAGACGATTGAACACAATGTTTAGATTGCTGGATGTTAAAAAGCTAGTAAATAAATTTCTTGGTCGGGTAACAGTGGAGTCATGGCAGCGTTGTGTTAGGAAAGTCGTCAACGAGATAGAGTCAAGATACTGGTCACGTGAGGAAGGGCAGCATGCAACAGTCCCACCTATAGTTGTGACCATCAGCAGTGACACAAGCGCTTCTGATGACGTGGGCTGTGACATGAGCGGGTCAGATTGTGATTAAAATTATCATGAGACTACCTCTGTTATGCTGTCATCCCCTGTACCATTGTGTAGCATATGCGTGTTTGCACTGTTCCTCCTACCATTGTGCCCCCTCCATTCAAGATGTCAACTTGTACACAATACAACATGATAGTTTTTTAAACAACTTTTTCCAGTGATGGGAATATTGTTAGGTACAAGGTATTCATTGCTGTATACAGAATTGACATTTTATAGACTATTCCTGATTTTGAGTTATTATTATGCAGTCTGTACAAGATGTCAGAACTTGTCATAGATGATACGTCATTGATAGTTTCAGACATCTTTTCTTCCGATCACTGCAATTAGATTTGATCGGTTTGAGTTATTATGTTGAGTGTTTCTTTTCTGAGTCACCTGTAGATCATGGCAGAAAATGTGCTTGGTGGTATTTCCACCTTCGAGACAACTACACATAATCTTAACAAAAACAACAGGAAATACTGAAAAATTCACCAAAAAACATTATATACAGTAGGGTCTTTGAAAGGCATATAGAAGTGATACACATGAGGAAGAGAATATATGGATGTGAACTTCTTTATTATGAGGAACACAACATTTCAGTGTATATGCTTACTTCTTTATCAGGTGAATGAATCATACAGTGATCTATACAGCAATATATATGTACAATATGTAGAATAATATACATATGTATATATTTATGATGCTTCAAAGTGAGTTGACCAGTCAGAGAGCAGAAATACTGACCCCACATGAGCCTGTATACTGTCAGTAAAAATCCAAGATGGTTGTTGCTGACTTACATGAGACTGTATACCAACAGTAACGGCCATCTTGGATTTTCCAACACCCACTTCACATGTTTCACATTAAAATTTTGGTACAGAAATTTGTTATTCGAAATTGTGATATGCAAGGACATTAATCTTTTTTAAATCATGTTCGTGACTTTATTGAGAAAGATTATATAGTTAAAATTGTCAACAAGGTTTGGCCTCTAAGGTTTGAGTAGTCTGCCTTTGAACCTTAACGTCATCGGTTGTAAGTGTCAAGTTTTGACATGACGTGGGATATGGATACCAGATAGTGTAAACCATGTCAACTTTTCGGCATAATAAATTTGTTATGGTGCCTTTAGTTGCTGTATACGGTGTCATATTTAGTTAGCAGAAACATTTAACACTGTATATGACAACTAAAGACATCATAGCAAATAATATAAGCAATATGTAGCAATATACAGTGTCTGCTCTGGCTTAAATTTTCTTTGGGTCACTAAAAACAATGGACCCTTCATCATGGAATTAGGGATCCAAACAAAAAGATTTGATGGTTCCAGTTTATAGCATTATGATATAAAATAAACAACTGAACATGTACAATTGTTGCGAAAATCAATACTTATTGCAACTTCAAAACATCAACAAATTATAAGTATAATAAAAGAAAGTGAAGTGAAGAGAGGTGTAGCCTAAACAGTGGATTTGTGGTCATCAAAGTGGAATGCCTATTGTTAAGGCAGGCAACAGTAAGTGCATTGGTTGTGGTTTCAGTAACACATTACAAGTCATACAAAGTGAACTGTCAAGTTGTAACCAACTATATTTAGTGAGTCAATCACTTTGGAAATGTTTGCTTTCTTTGAAACTGGTTTGTTATTTGTGTTATTCGTACCAGGTTTTTTCCATTTATTTACGGTTTTTGACTTCGGTTTTGCCGAAGCAATTTACTAAACTGTCCTGTGTATGGTGGCTAGTTCACGGCGATCACAGTAAACTACTTTCTCATGAGGATACGACATATTTCACAGAAGAAGGTAAATCACAAACTTTCATGAACAGTGCCAGAGTTGTCAATTTCACTTAAAGTGACAAACTTTTAAAGACAAAACATGAATAGACTATTGTAGAATAACTAAATATTTATAGTCAACAAAATGAAAACAACACTTACATTCATGTTTTGGCCTTTATTCTGTATTAATACAAGGTCACTAGCTTATCTCGCTTGTCACTGTTACTATGTTAAGTATTCTCGTGATGTGCCTTGCTATTTGACACAATGTTGAGATATTTTCGACCAATCAAGCTAAATAAATTACAGATTTGATTGTTGAATGTGCAGCGCCTGATTGGCTGATGCAAACCTACAGACCATACCAATAATTAATACATGCAACACAAAAAGTAGATGTTAGTCGAGATACTGGTTTGGTAATTTGTGATAAAACAAGAGAGAAAGTACAGTAAGCAATATATATAAACAAATACTGTAACTTTGACCAAAAAAACAATATATACAGATATATATATATATAGATATAGATATAGATATATAGATATAGATATATAAAAATAAAAAGCACAGTAAAGTTCTAACTCTCAGGCACAATATAGTAATAATTAAATAAGTGGAGTAAGATTGAACACAGTTTTAATAGGCTAGCGCTTTCAACTCGTACCACATACGAGTCTCATCAGGCCATAACTGAATAACGGACATTATTGTCAAGTTTCTTAACAATAGGCATTCCACTCTGATGACCACAAATCCACTGTTTAGGCTACACCTCTCACTTATTCAGTCCGTTATTCAGTTATGGCCTGATGAGACTCGTACGTGGTACAAGTTGAAAGCGCTAGCCTATTAAAACTGTGTTCAATCTTACTCCACTTATTTAATTATTACTACACACACACACACACACACACACACACACACACACACACACACACACACACACATATGTTTATGTTTATACATACAAAAAGTGTAATGCATCTAAAATATATACATATGTATGTTTGGAGGAATTTAGACAATAAACAATATATACACAAAATACTGTAACATTGACTAAAGAGCAGTGAATAAGGCAGGTACCAATAGTACATTATACACAAGGAAAGACAGTGTTCTGGTCTGTGTCGAGATCAAAACCTATTCAAAGCTGCTGCAATGACAAGAACAACACACATCACCTCCTCGTATATAATTTATGTGTTTATTTGGTCACAAGCCAATTTCATTTGATGAGAAAATATGTTCAATCTGTACAGATAAGAGATTCTGATATCTCATGAATATCAGGAAACTCACATTACCATGTTACCTGAGGAGATTTCTTTGTCACGTCTTTGTCATTGGTTAAGTTTTCCAGGATTTTTCCTGCGCAGGTTGAAAAGAAAAGACCAAAAATTCTGGTCTTAATGTTTAAGTCAAAAGAATATCCTTTAAATTATGTCAAAGATCACCATCTTGAACTGACACTTCAGGGATTCATGTTTTTCTTATCTTTTGCAGGCTGTACTGTGAAAGTCATAATCTGAAGCCCCTTTGTCCAGCTGATTTTGGGAAGGTCATGAAATGCGTTTTTCCAAATGTCAAGCCACGTCGCCTTGGGCAGCGAGGACAATCAAAATATCCTTTGAAAGAGACCTACCACTCAAAATCATTTTAAACCCACAGTCACAATATTATGAGAGCACATTGGCATGAATTAGATCAGTACAAATGACTGTTTACAAGGCTTGATACAGTCTCACGACCGTACACACCCAACAATACATGTGGGCCAGTTACAAAAACTGTTCTCTTGCCCTGACTTGCCCTGTCATTATGGGCATTGTTTGCATTATTTCCTGTGTTATGTTTTCACCTTGAACTTCACTACAGTCAAAATTTGTTTATCCGGGAACTTGCGTTTTCTCAAATATCTTCCAGATAAAAAACATTTCCATATACATAGCTGAATCCCTTGTCAACTGACCAGAGTTAACTCCCCTACCCAAATTCTATGGAGGCAAAGATATGCCTAGGATTTTTATATTTTTGCAGTAAGAAAAAAGACATTGTATCCCTTTAGCGAATTCAGGTAAACAAAAAAGTGATAACAAACTTAATGTTAACCAATGAAAGTGTGAAATTTGTAGTAAAACTTTGGATTGTGCATGTGGTTGCTGTAAATAACCGTGACTTTGTGCAATCTGCCCATCTGTTCCCTGAAGTCAATGTGAACAACATTCAATGAAATTTTTATTAAAATAGATTACAAACAGTCCAGATATAAAATGAACACTTTTTCAAACCATATTGTGTAATAACAGGATTAAATTATACAATACTCACTCTTTTGATGTTGGTTGCCGGGTGATGAATTACAAAACAAACACATTATTCACTATCCGGTTTTTGGGACACCCCTGTGTGTATTTTGCACACTGTTGGTAATTGAAAGTCATTGGAAGATTTCAGAATAAATGAAGCATCTTATGTAGTGTATATTTTGTTTCACATAAATATCGTCTGGTAGGCGAGGTTTCCTGATATCTGGGTTCTGGTGAAACGGGGTTCCGCTCTAGTCACTTATTTAGTGCTAATAACAAATAAAGACAAGACACCAGTTAAACATAGATTGCAAATATATTTTAGTGAAACAATTTTAGAACCATTGCATTGATCTGTGGCATGTTTACACACAAGGATTGAGTTTGCATTATTTTACAAATATTCAGTTAGTCTTTATTGTGAGGTGCAGCTGATGACAAATGTTTCTGAAAAAATATTTTGCCTTGTCACTTTGTTAGTTTCCCTGTTTGACAAAGGGTTTTATCCATACACCTCGATTTGATCAGGCTACCACAAAAGATGCTCCACTATTCCGACAGGCTGTTGTACTAGACACGGGCTCAGGACTAGTGGCTTGCGTCGCAGACTGATATTCTTCTCAAACACAAATTTCCTTGATAAGTAATGTTATAATTTCATGAAATTGTGTAACACAGTGAAGAGAAGGTGCTCTCAGAAGATGAACAGAGAAATAAACTGACTGGCCAGCTAATGCTGTGACAAGGATATTCACATGATTGAAGAGATCATACAGAACCAGAGCACAATAACAATCTATTCACAGGCCTGGGACAGACCCAGTGACAATAGCCATGACCCAATAAAGAAGTGCCTGAACCACCCAAACCATTTACGGAAGCCAGCTTCCCCATGAATTTGTAGATTTGTGCATGTTTTGAAGTGAACACAAGTATTTAAAGAAATAAATGTTTAATATTTTAGATGAAGATTATTATTAATTTAATGCATCTTTGTTTAATATAATAAAAACACATACTGGTACATGGGGACTAGGAGGGAATATAGCATTCTGCAGCAGCAGACAACACTGTTCAAGATGTAACGTTGGCCTGAAAATAGTCAAGTTCCGGGCAATCACTGGAAAAGTCGTTTGAGAATTTGGAATGGAGTGAGAGCACAGCGCATTAGGGGCAACAGCCATATTGAAGAACCCTATTCATGGCCTCAACTATCTTATTGTTTTTAGCTTGAGTGAGTGAGTGAGTAAGGTTTTACGCCGCTTTTAGCAATATTCCAGCAATATCACGGCGGGGGACACCACAGAAATGGGCTTCACACATTGTACCCATGTCGGAAATCGAACCCGGGTCTTCGGCGTGATGAGCGAACGCTTTAACCACTAGGCTACCCGACCGCCCCTTAGCTCAACTGACTGGAGCTCCATCCATCCATCCATCCCCCCCCCCCCCATAACTGCTATGTCAACATCTCTGTAACTACGGCCCATGCCGCTGAAACTGTGTAAATGTTGAGAGTGAGTTATGGTGCTCGCAGACTTCTGAGCTAATTTTGAGCATGGCCACCACAGTTGTCATATTGAATACATGTATGTCATATTGAGCCATTACTCATTTCTGCATGTATCATTATGCAGTTTGATATGCACCAAGTATGTGACTTTCAGAATTACATAGAATACTTTTTTGTATTTTTTTATTGTGATCCAGTTACAACCTTTTACTTTCATACACCCCATTTTCTAGTGTTACTGAATTTGCAACAACTGTTCTCAAACTACAAGGCCTATGGAGCTGACTGTTTTTGTTAATGGTCCCAAATGTAGGCTCACGGAACATCCTGCCACATTTAGAAACCCATTAATGGCTGTCATTTGGCCTTCTTTTTCAAAAATGGATTTGAAATTTGGCATGGGTGTAGACAGAAGTGGAGCCTTACATATACATTTTTTACCTAGATTCAACCTTTACAACATAAAAGTTGGTGTCACCAAAGTGAAAAAAATGCTGTCATGGGCAAGAAATATCAAAGTATGTGCAAAATTGGAAAACCATATCTTTTGCCCACACTAGCCTGCCACAATCTTTCATCAAATCATCAAACTTGATGTAGGTTTTCACATATGATTGCCATGGAAACAATACTTGACTTTGAAAAGAATTGGTTTCAGCAACATTTGGAGAGGCTTTCGGTGGGATGGTCCAGGGACAGTTTCACCATATTGCTCCTTTTGATATAAGAGAAACTAGTGAAAAAAGAAGGCCCAAAATGTCCCTTTGTTACTTCAGTATCTGACAAGTGTGTTAGTTCACCCTTGTGTGGTCAAAACTAAAACAGCCAAACTTAACATGCCTGCAGTCTGCAACTTCAGTCACTAGTCTGTCCTTATGTTTCTGTGTTTTGCAAACCAACAAATGAGGAAGAGGGAGTGTAATGGTGAGGGGATTTAGTTTGGACCACAAGAGTCCTCCACACGTCTTCCATCAGCAGTGGTCAAATGGGGTAACGTTCTTTGAGGTTTTGTAACACTTCAGTTCATGGCTTATCCTCAACTCCCAAGTCTTTCATCACGACAATGCTCATCCCCACACAACTAGGGTTTCCATGTAGTTTCTGATACAGGGTGCGAGGCATTACCTGTTTATCGGTATATTGAGGTTCACTCTTTCCACGATACGTTTCACAATATCATTCTTTTGTGCTTATTATATCCGATTATTTCAAATAGCAATTTTTTTCTTGTGTTTATTAAGAACTTGCCAGATAGCCATAGCATGCATCCTGAGTGTGCATTCGTGCGTATTTACTGAATTGGTCAACATTATGCTTTTCTAGCATCTTGTGTTGTTCCAATTATGAACTTCAATTCATACAATGATGGTTCAAATTGCTTCTGAATTCAAGATTTAGACTTATACAATATATTGTGATACGTATTGCAATACGGCCTTGTGCATTTTAAAATATTGTGATACACTTCTAACCTCCAATACCCATCTCTAGAATTTTATGAATGTCATGTCATGACCTTCTCCGTCGCTCAACATGAGATTTGACCTTGAATAGCAACCAAATGACAGTCACAGACCCATCAGCAACTCGAAGCTGCAATGGTGCAGGAGTGGAACCAACTTCCTTAGGCTTTCTTTCAGACACTCATCAACTCAAAAAAGCTATGCCTGTATAGCTGCTCGGGAGGCCATAAAAACTATTGGTGGACGTTTTTTAGGCTGCAGGCACTTGCCATTTTGGCACTCGACGGGTACCTTGTTGAGCATGTATATTTTAAGCGAACATTCATATGGTAATCAAACACATGCCCTCAAAGTTGTTAACGACTGTTTGACCTGTCACAAAAAGGAATTAAAATGAATGGATCTGTTTGCGTTGCTGCTCAGTATATATCTCCATATGTTAAGATTAAGTTTGTGGTTACATTTTCTCAAAAAAGTGTTATGTATTTCAATTAAACTAAGTAGATGCCTTCTTTATTAGGAGATGGTCATGCTTTGGAAATGTCTCCGTCAAAAGTGTTCAGAGTTTAGGTTTTTGTAAAACATGTATTTCATTGTCAGCTTTCTGATGCATTGTTACCTCTACTTTCAAACACGTGGAGATGATATGTAATTTTGAAATGAGGCTGATGATATAGTTCAGGAAAGCTTAGTTGTTCACAGTAGAACAAGGTAATTGACACTATACCACATAAATACATCAAATTGGGTGCACCTGTTGAAATGTCCAAAGACAATTTTGCGTGAAGCCATGTTTAATGAACAAAAGTGGTGTCAAGTGCCACAACATGCCAACAAGCAACATGTAGCCAATAATCAGTCCGATCACTTGTCACAATGAGAGTATCCTACTGAAACGTAAACAATCACAAAAACAAATTCATTATGAAAAATGCGATCAGAGCCTGGCTCCATCGTCTTATGCTCCCAATAAATGTCTGGATAATTGCCAAGGAAGATTATTCCACTCTTTAGTAAGAGCTGTGCAGTGTTCCTGTTGAGTTGCCAGGACAGGACATTGTGAGAGGGCAATCTGCAGTTTGTTCCACATGTGTTCGATAGAGTGGAGTTCTTGTGACAGGGCTGGCCGCTCCATGCAGACAAGGTCTCCTGCTCTAAGTACGCATCAATGACCATTGCATGATTTGCTTGGTTGCTTGGTTTGTTGTTTAACACCGCATTAAGCAGTGTTCCACCTATATTTGACGGCGGTCTGTAAATAATCAAGTCTGGACCAGACAATCCAGTGATTGACAACATGAGCACCATGACCCTCGTAAGACGGGGCTAATAGGATCTGGTTAGTCTTACTGACTTGGTTGATGCATGTCATCGTATCCCAATTGCGTGGATCAGTGCTCATGATACCAATCATTGGATTGCCTGGTCTAGACTCGATTATTTGCAGTCAGACGTCATATAGCTGGAATATTGTATTGCATTAAACAGCAAACAAACAAACAAACAAACTTATCGTCCATGAGGATTAAGACTGGTCCGATTGTACCAGCATGTTGTTTCCTGATACTCCCTCCTCCTTATAGTGCACACGTGTCCACATGCTCCGATATAGGACATGGACATCAGTTCTTCCAGCTCTACTGATCCCATGCCAAATCACGATTGAGCCCCCTCCACAGCGGTTATGTTCGGCTATGTTGGAATCCATGTCTAGGCCACACTCAGGCACAATGGTCTGTGGAGTCTAGACAGTATCTCGATTCATCATTCAAAAATACTGGAGGCCAGTTCTTATCTGTTCAATTGATGTGATTTTCATCCCAATCTAAACTTGCCTGCCAATGAAACCGATCTTCCCGCTGTGTGGTGGAAGGATGTCGACCTCTGGCATGTCGAATGGTAGCGAATCCAAACGTCTCGTATCGATTCCATGTTCTGATGACACACTTTAGCTGGCACTAAAGATGTTTGCAACGTGATGTTGACCCTATGCATCTGCCTAAATACTTCGTCCGTCAAACGATGTCTCCGTTGGGGGAGCATAAGTGCATTCAGTTGTTGCAATCTTCAGTAGAAAAAGTTGTTGTACACTCTATTAATGATGTGAAGCCATTGTGTCATGATACATCCTGACACAGGTTTTTTCCAGCACCTTGTGCACATTATGCCCATTACTGCATGCCTCTGTCCATTCATCATGAAATTTGAGGCCAATAGGGGTCACCCAATCATTGTGTACAGGGATATTTCAATCTATATTGTTGGATGTTTTTTGCTATCATCAAAACTTGATCCTGAGCAAACTTTTGAGTAGAAAAGTATATTTGATTTTTCTTCTTTGTTTATTTTAAGATAAAAAGTTTTATCCTTAACTCTACCCACATATTGCTACAGTGGTCTGCGTAAGAAGCTTGAGGTGCAGCCGCCATCTCTTCCAGAACTGGAGATCACACCAAAGAAGGAAAAGGTTTATTTTTTTAGCTGTTTCTTGATGTCAATTGGGTCACGTCAGTGCATCAACTGTGAGATGCTTACAGGGCAGTTTGTGAGAGGCAATGGTCATGGAAGAAGTACACAGTTCAGGTTTTTTCAAATCTAAAAGTTATAAAAATCATCACGTCATGAAATCCAAATGTTTTTAACAGTGATCCTCTTCACTGTTAACTATCCATAATAGTTGCAATACTAGTAGCTTCCCCCACATGAACCCTGTGCATGCACTGTCAAAAATAACCTCACTACTTGTGTGTGCTGATGTCAACATCATGAAAAAGTAGTCATTTAATTATTTTTTTTATCACACTGTATTACTGTTTAGATTATCAACTTATGTTTGACCCACTGGATCCTTCCTCACCTTTTTGATTTCTGGCGACCATCATGACACCTGCTAGAAGTGAGAGGCCCTTAGAATTGCTATCATAGAATTAATGTGCTCACTACGGCCACCCTATGGGTGATGACCTTTCCGTGTTTGAACCATTTCGATCTTTACACTGCACTGTTGAATGGCCTTGTGGTCACCTGGGAGCCACCGTGCCCATGCATGATGGTTTTGGATCTTTTGACTATACCAAGGACACTATTGGATGGGGCCGTAGACAGCCAAGGACCCTTGAATTGCGTGATGCTACTGTTCAAATGGGTTGTGGTTGGCCTTTTACCGCCCGACCAGGAGAAGGATTCTTCAGATCAAAGGAGAACAATCAACCTAGTTATGACTTGGGTCAAAGACTGTTGGATATTGGATTTAGTCATAGTGCTACCATTGGCTTGTGACATAAGTCAGGATTCGGATTGGCACAGGACGTCTGTGGACCAACCTTGGCATGGTGTGGAGTACGGACACACACTTATATCTGGATCAAACAGCGGTTGACTTTACTGCTGGAATTTGGGTTTATCTTCAGTAGGATTTAGAATTACGTTAACTTTCCATGGTATTGCTAGATGGCAGAACCCACCGATCACTTGGGTGTATTCTGGTGCTGATGAAACACGTTTTCTATTTGCAAGTATTATAAATTCAAAATCAATTCAAAGAATATTAGTCTCAAATACATCCAGTACTCCCCTCCTTACCCCCCCCCCCTCTGTCAATGTTCAGTATTCCAGATATGCATTCGACTTCTGGTGTGAAATCCTACTCTTGTATAATCATATGTTTCACTAAATCCAGAAGTGATGCTATCCCCTTATCAGATTGGATTTGCATTTGATGTTCCTATCAAGGTGGAAGTGTGGGATCTGACTGAAGTTGCATACAACATGAGGGCTTGCCCAGCTATTTATCAACCTAGTAACACATTGAGGAAACAATGATGAAAGTAATGCTTTTTTACAAGGTCTTGCACACATCTAAAGTCATCAACTCATTACTCTCTTTGTTTTAGGAAGAAAAGACTGAGGAAGACGAGGTTTACACTGCTTCACGTCAGCTTGTGTGTGAATGGGCACATAAGCTTTTGGGAACAAATTTCAACAATTTACGAGAATTGGCTGAGTTTCTGGTTGGGAATCTGTACGTCAACAGTAAATCAACTGCAGCATTCACTGTGTTAGCTGCCATGCAAGATGCAGGACTTCATAATTCAAAAGGTAAAATAGTTTCTCAACATGCTCAATAACAGCATTGCATCTGTTCCAGTTACCAATTTTTGTCTACATACGTTTGGGTATACAAGGGAAGGTGTATAAGCAGTGACTGTATGACAGGGAAGGGTCCTCACACAGCCAGTGTATGGGCAGTGACTGTATGACAGGGAAGGGTCCCCACTTTACAGGTGTATGGGCAGTGACTGTATGACAGGGAAGGGTCCTCACACAGCCAGTGTATGGGCAGTGACTGTATGACAGGGAAGGGTCCCCACTTTACAGGTGTATGGGCAGTGACTGTATGACGGGGAAGGGTCCTCACACAGCCAGTTTATGGGCAGTGACTGTATGACAGGGAAGGGTCCCCACTTTACAGGTGTATGGGCAGTGACTGTATGACGGGGAAGGGTCCTCACACAGCCAGTGTATGGGCAGTGACTGTATGACAGGGTAGGGTCCTCACACAGCCAGTGTATGGGCAGTGACTGTATGACAGGGAAGGGTCCTCACACAGCCAGTGTATGGGCAGTGACTGTATGACAGGGAAGGGTCCCCACTTTACAGGTGTATGGGCAGTGACTGTATGACGGGGAAGGATCCTCACACAGCCAGTGTATGGGCATTGACTGTATGACAGGGAAGGGTCCTCACACAGCCAGTGTATGGGCAGTGACTGAATGACGGGGAAGGGTCCTCACACAGCCAGTGTATGGGCAGTGACTGTATGACGGGGAAGGGTCCTCACACAGCCAGTGTATGGGCAGTGACTGTATGACAGGGAAGGGTCCCCACTTTACAGGTGTATGGGCAGTGACTGTATGACGGGGAAGGATCCTCACACAGCCAGTGTATGGGCAGTGACTGTATGACAGGGAAGGGTCCCCACTTTACAGGTGTATGGGCAGTGACTGTATGACAGGGTAGGGTCTTCACACAGCCAGTGTATGGGCAGTGACTGTATGACAGGGAAGGGTCCCCACTTTACAGGTGTATGGGCAGTGACTGTATGACGGGGAAGGGTCCTCACACAGCCAGTTTATGGGCAGTGACTGTATGACGGGGAAGGGTCCCCACTTTACAGGTGTATGGGCAGTGACTGTATGACGGGGAAGGGTCCTCACACAGCCAGTGTATGGGCAGTGACTGTATGACAGGGTAGGGTCCTCACACAGCCAGTGTATGGGCAGTGACTGTATGACAGGGAAGGGTCCTCACACAGCCAGTGTATGGGCAGTGACTGTATGACAGGGAAGGGTCCCCACTTTACAGGTGTATGGGCAGTGACTGTATGACGGGGAAGGATCCTCACACAGCCAGTGTATGGGCAGTGACTGTATGACGGGGAAGGGTCCTCACACAGCCAGTGTATGGGCAGTGACTGAATGACGGGGAAGGGTCCTCACACAGCCAGTGTATGGGCAGTGACTGTATGACGGGGAAGGGTCCTCACACAGCCAGTGTATGGGCAGTGACTGTATGACAGGGAAGGGTCCCCACTTTACAGGTGTATGGGCAGTGACTGTATGACGGGGAAGGATCCTCACACAGCCAGTGTATGGGCAGTGACTGTATGACAGGGAAGGGTCCCCACTTTACAGGTGTATGGGCAGTGACTGTATGACAGGGTAGGGTCTTCACACAGCCAGTGTATGGGCAGTGACTGTATGACAGGGAAGGGTCCCCACTTTACAGGTGTATGGGCAGTGACTGTATGACGGGGAAGGGTCCTCACACAGCCAGTGTATGGGCAGTGACTGTATGACGGGGAAGGGTCCTCACACAGCCAGTGTATGGGCAGTGACTGTATGACAGGGAAGGGTCCCCACTTTACAGGTGTATGGGCAGTGACTGTATGACAGGGAAGGGTCCTCACACAGCCAGTTTATGGGCAGTGACTGTATGACGGGGAAGTGTCCTCACACAGCCAGTGTATGGGCAGTGACTGTATGACAGGGAAGGGTCCCCACTTTACAGGTGTATGGGCAGTGACTGTATGACGGGGAAGGATTCTCACACAGCCAGTGTATGGGCAGTGACTGTATGACAGGGAAGGGTCCCCACTTTACAGGTGTATGGGCAGTGACTGTATGACAGGGAAGGGTCCTCACACAGCCAGTGTATGGGCAGTGACTGTATGACAGGGAAGGGTCCCCACTTTACAGGTGTATGGGCAGTGACTGTATGACAGGGAAGGATCCTCACACAGCCAGTGTATGGGCAGTGACTGTATGACAGGGAAGGGTCCCCACTTTACAGGTGTATGGGCAGTGACTGTATGACGGGGAAGGATCCTCACACAGCCAGTGTATGGGCAGTGACTGTATGACAGGGAAGGGTCCCCACTTTACAGGTGTATGGGCAGTGACTGTATGACAGGGAAGGGTCCCCACTTTACAGGTGTATGGGCAGTGACTGTATGACAGGGAAGGGTCCTCACACAGCCAGTGTATGGGCAGTGACTGTATGACAGGGAAGGGTCCCCACTTTACAGGTGTATGGGCAGTGACTGTATGACAGGGAAGGGTCCTCACACAGCCAGTGTATGGGCAGTGACTGTATGACAGGGAAGGGTCCTCACACAGCCAGTGTATGGGCAGTGACTGTATGACAGGGAAGGGTCCCCACTTAACAGGTGTATGGGCAGTGACTGTATGACGGGGAAGGGTCCTCACACAGCCAGTGTATGGGCAGTGACTGTATGACAGGGAAGGGTCCTCACACAGCCAGTGTATGGGCAGTGACTGTATGACGGGGAAGGATCCTCACACAGCCAGTGTATGGGCAGTGACTGTATGACGGGGAAGGGTCCCCACTTTACAGGTGTATGGGCAGTGACTGTATGACAGGGAAGGGTCCTCACACAGCCAGTGTATGGGCAGTGACTGTATGACAGGGAAGGGTCCTCACACAGCCAGTGTATGGGCAGTGACTGTATGACAGGGAAGGGTTCTCACTTTACAGCTGTATGGGCAGTGACTGTATGACGGGGAAGGATCCTCACACAGCCAGTGTATGGGCAGTGACTGTATGACAGGGAAGGGTCCCCACTTTACAGGTGTATGGGCAGTGACTGTATGACGGGGAAGGATCCTCACACAGCCAGTGTATGGGCAGTGACTGTATGACAGGGAAGGGTCCCCACTTTACAGGTGTATGGGCAATGACTGTATGACGGGGAAGGATCCTCACACAGCCAGTGTATGGGCAGTGACTGTATGACAGGGAAGGGTTCTCCCTTTACAAGTGTATGGTGAGTTACTGTATGACAGGGAAGGGTTCTCACTTTACAGGTGTATGGGCAGTGGTTGTATGACAGGGAAGGGTTCTCACTTTACAGGTGTATAGTGAGTTACTGTATGACAGGGAAGGATTCTCCCTTTACAAGTGTCTGGTGAGTTACTGTATGACAGGGAAGGGTTCTCACTTTACAGGTGTATGGTGAGTTACTGTATGACAGGGAAGGGTTCTCACTTTACAAGTGTATGGTGAGTTACTGTATGACAGGGAAGGGTTCTCACTTTACAGGTGTATGGGCAGTGACTGTATGACAGGGAAGGGTTCTCACTTTACAAGTGTATGGTGAGTTACTGTATGACAGGGAAGGGTCCTCACCCTCTTGTTATTGTACAACCATGATGAAAGGGAAAATGCCACAAACAGGGGAAAGTTTTAAAATGTCTCTAAAATGTGTTACTGTTTTTGTTTGCAGAAACTGTGTCAATATGTATTTGATAAAAGAAATGTTTGACATCAATTTGCTTAGAGGTTTGCTTGCTATTTTTATGCTTTTTGTGTGTTGCAGTTCCTGTATCAAGCCTGTTTACATGCACGTCTGGTGGCAACAAACACAAGGAGACTCAGCTTCAGCTTCAACGGAAGTTGCAAGAGAGAGAACTTATTAAGGAACAGAAGCGAAGACTACAACAACAGCGATCTGAGAATGAACGTGAGAATGATCACCTTCGTTCACAATCTCTTGGTCATTCACCATCACCATTTCAGTTAGCTGCAAAAAGTGCTGCTCGCAATATAACCAAGCTTCTGCAGTCTCCAGGAGCCGGGGACAACTGTCTCAAGACAAGCCCCCACACTCTGCAGGAAATGATAAAGCAACAAGACAGAAAGTCTGGTGTGGAGGCTACCATAGACAACCATTGTAATGGCCACAGTGATATGGATGTTCAGGCTGACAATGGTAGTGTTAATGGAAGGCAGAGTGATAATGGCCAATACCATGTTGTCAAAAAGCCAGCTGTAAGGCCTGCTAGCCAGTTAGGAGATATTTCAGATAAAGCAGTTCAGAAGACAGATGTTCAAACAGACCATAAGTCAAACCCTTTAAACTCTAATTCTGAAACAAATTCTGAAAATGGACATTTTGCTTTGCCAACAACTCCTTCACGCAGTGCTTTTGTACCTGTATCAAATCAAAGAAAGGATTTTTGTTCCACAACACATCCTAATTCAGGTTTGATAGACTTCTTAGAGGAATCAGGAGAAGACAAGCATACTTTACTAACTGAATCTTTTGACACTGATTCAAAGACCAATGGGAAGTCAAACTATTTAAAGGACATGCTTCAGAGAGAAACAAGTTCTGATAACAAATCCAGCAACTCACCTGTTATTGTCAGTGGTGAAAGTAGCACAAGTACTGTTCCTTCGTCACCTCAGACACCTAAGAAGTCTCGAAGTCGCTTTACACCAATACGCCCTAAAATAACACCAACAAAGACTGTATCATCGATCCTCAAAGACCACAAGAATGCAAACGGTGATGGTCCTGCATATGACAGCAGACCTGTTTCGGCTATTCTGAAAGAAAAACGTGCCCGTGAAGCTCAAGAAATTTTGACTCAATTGGCAAGCAATGTTCAGTTGCAAAGCAGTCCTTTACCTCAAGGCATGAATGTCTCTGGACCTGTTTCCTCGGTTTCGTCAGATGTCCTTAAATTGCCACTACCTGCAGGGAATTGTTCAAATTCAAATGAAGTTTTCATTATTGTTGGATCCCCGAAAGCAGGAACATCAAAAGTAAATAGTCAGTCAATTACAGTATCCCAGGGAGCATTTGACATTATGAGCAACACTCAGTTCCCCCCAAATGTGACAGCACCAATGCCATCCTCAGTTCCATTAACTTTGTTGCTAGCAAAACAAGAAGAAATGCAATTTCAAGGTAGTAGACAATTGGACAGCAACTCACAGGACAATTCAGATTTATCTGATAATGGCAATATCACTGACAATGATATACAAAAACCTGATGAATCTCAGGACATGATCATTTCAAGAGACACTGACACACCATCAGGAAGAAAACGCAAGTCCAGTGACAGAGATGTGGAAAGTAAAACCAAAAGAATGAATTCCACCGACGTAAGAAATGAAGAAGATGAAGTGTTTCTTCCTCCTGGGGAAACACAGACAGCAGGAACAGTTGATCCAAACTCAAAGACGATGTCTGTGTTGGTTCAAGCTGAGGCAGTGTCTTGTGGCTGTGAGAATCGTGCATCTGGTGGCAAGTTGAGTGTGGAGAGTCTGGAGAGTGATGCCTTGCTTGACAGTGCACCCATGGCAGTGGACCAGGATCTTGTTTCTTCTCTTTCAAAACCAAATCTTCTCACAAGTCAGACTGCTTCTATTGGCATCAGTGCAAAGTCAATGAGATCAACACAAAAACAACTTCTGC